AATACAGTCGATAGAAGTATTACGACACTCGGCTTGGCGTACGTGCTAGTTTCCTGTCAGCCATACTGAGATTCTTATCATTATTAACATGGCGGCAATGAGAAGGGTATGCTGGACTTTCTGCAACACAGTTGTCCCTCGCCGGACTTTCACTACAGGAACGGCCCTCCGCTGCCACCCCCCGGGGATTCCTAACGACGTAAGTTGATAACCCTAACCCCATTGCTAGGCCATGGCGACCAACCTATGCAACCTTCTAGATAACTCGCAATGACCTTCGAAGGTTGGCACAAATCTCGCTTGACCCTTTTGGTTTGAAAAAAAGCTCTTAAATCAATTTCTGTGTATACTAGATTTTTAGGCAGACTTTCTATGATTTAACTGTGTTGTCATCAGATAGTGGTACATTTTATTGGTGCACGTTTACCACTGAAAACCTAATAAACACACAAGTCACGTGCAGTCATCAACCGATTTATGGAAGGACTAGAAAGTGCACAGCAATCTATGCTCATTTACTGGCGTTTTACTGGACTTGTTTATCATGTCATAATCAGGAGTTTAATCATATCTGAATCAATCATTTCCATCGGTGGTCATACCAAATTTAGAAATGGAAGAAAAATGCTTTAATTATGCTTATCACTCGACACACAAACCCCGGAAAGAGCTTATGGGTATGTTCGTGTAGGCTAGGCCTGTAAAACGTTACTAGAATTGACACAGTTGTTGTGATTTCATGGATACACAAATGATCCTTGAGCAACACTTCCCTTTGTTAATTCTATGCAAATTTATCATAAAAAATGTACACAATGGAATTTGTGTCGACTTTAAAATGAATTAATGTTGCTCTCTCAGGTTAAAGTTAAGTGTTATATTTATTCTGTAACCTTATGTCCTATCAGTACAGGTACACACAATTAATGTGCACATATGTATATCTTACGGTGTCTTTTGTAGACATTTATAAATAGAACCTAGACGGAATAGTGTTTTAGATTACAGCATTTGTTTGTAGACAGCTCCTTTATCGAGGTTATTACATGTTTTAGGTAGCTATGTATAAATGGGTTGTGTTTACCCGGTCTTGCATGGATTTGAGATTAGCGATAACCGACTTTTTCAGTGCGTACATAGCTCTGAGCCTTGTGCATATATCATATGTGTTTATTGTTAAAAGGTATGAAAATCAATATTGCGTCTTTAGTGAAGGGACGGATTGCAGAGAAATTATACTGAAAAGTAAAATTATTTGCCATTAAAGATTTGTTGTATTCATGCTTACTAAAGTAAATTATACCTTACTACCATGGTTTGCTATCAGGATCTCAAGCTAATAACAACATAAAAACAGTCAATTTTGTGAAGGCCTTCTATTAGAATTTTTCCTTACAGAAATTATTGAGAAGGAGCGTCTTAAGTATCATATATCTTAGCTATTCAGAAAGTCCGGTAGCATGCAGGTGTATCATGCTGATTTTCAAATCGGGAACAAAAACAATGTATGTAAATAGAGACAGAGGGAATAACACCATGTAAATAGAGACAAAGGGAATAACACCATGTAAATAGAGACAGAGGGAATAACACCATGTAAATAGAGACAAAGGGAATAACACCATGTAAATAGAGACAGAGGGAATAACACCATGTAAATAGAGACAAAGGGAATAACACCATGTAAATAGAGACAGAGGGAATAACACCATGTAAATAGAGACAAAGGGAATAACACCATGTAAATAGAGACAGAGGGAATAACACCATGTAAATAGAGACAAAGGGAATAACACCATGTAAATAGAGACAGAGGGAATAACACCATGTAAATAGAGACAAAGGGAATAACACCATGTAAATAGAGACAGAGGGAATAACACCATGTAAATAGAGACAAAGGGAATAACACCATGTAAATAGAGACAGAGGGAATAACACCATGTAAATAGAGACAAAGGGAATAACACCATGTAAATAGAGACAGAGGGAATAACACCATGTAAATAGAGACAAAGGGAATAACACCATGTAAATAGAGACAGAGGGAATAACACCATGTAAATAGAGACAAAGGGAATAACACCATGTAAATAGAGACAGAGGGAATAACACCATGTAAATAGAGACAAAGGGAATAACACCATGTAAATAGAGACAAAGGGAATAACACCATGTAAATAGAGACAAAGGGAATAACACCATGTAAATAGAGACAAAGGGAATAACACCATGTAAATAGAGACAAAGGGAATAACACCATGTAAATAGAGACAAAGGGAATAACACCATGTAAATAGAGACAAAGGGAATAACACCATGTAAATAGAGACAAAGGGAATAACACCATGTAAATAGAGACAAAGGGAATAACACCATGTAAATAGAGACAAAGGGAATAACACCATGTAAATAGAGACAAAGGGAATAACACCATGTAAATAGAGACAAAGGGAATAACACCATGTAAATAGAGACAAAGGGAATAACACCATGTAAATAGAGACAAAGGGAATAACACCATGTAAATAGAGACAAAGGGAATAACACCATGTAAATAGAGACAAAGGGAATAACACCATGTAAATAGAGACAAAGGGAATAACACCATGTAAATAGAGACAAAGGGAATAACACCATGTAAATAGAGACAAAGGGAATAACACCATGTAAATAGAGACAAAGGGAATAACACCATGTAAATAGAGACAAAGGGAATAACACCATGTAAATAGAGACAAAGGGAATAACACCATGTAAATAGAGACAAAGGGAATAACACCATGTAAATAGAGACAAAGGGAATAACACCATGTAAATAGAGACAAAGGGAATAACACCATGTAAATAGAGACAAAGGGAATAACACCATGTAAATAGAGACAAAGGGAATAACACCATGTAAATAGAGACAAAGGGAATAACACCATGTAAATAGAGACAAAGGGAATAACACCATGTAAATAGAGACAAAGGGAATAACACCATGTAAATAGAGACAAAGGGAATAACACCATGTAAATAGAGACAAAGGGAATAACACCATGTAAATAGAGACAAAGGGAATAACACCATGTAAATAGAGACAAAGGGAATAACACCATGTAAATAGAGACAAAGGGAATAACACCATGTAAATAGAGACAAAGGGAATAACACCATGTAAATAGAGACAAAGGGAATAACACCATGTAAATAGAGACAAAGGGAATAACACCATGTAAATAGAGACAAAGGGAATAACACCATGTAAATAGAGACAAAGGGAATAACACCATGTAAATAGAGACAAAGGGAATAACACCATGTAAATAGAGACAAAGGGAATAACACCATGTAAATAGAGACAAAGGGAATAACACCATGTAAATAGAGACAAAGGGAATAACACCATGTAAATAGAGACAAAGGGAATAACACCATGTAAATAGAGACAAAGGGAATAACACCATGTAAATAGAGACAAAGGGAATAACACCATGTAAATAGAGACAAAGGGAATAACACCATGTAAATAGAGACAAAGGGAATAACACCATGTAAATAGAGACAAAGGGAATAACACCATGTAAATAGAGACAAAGGGAATAACACCATGTAAATAGAGACAAAGGGAATAACACCATGTAAATAGAGACAAAGGGAATAACACCATGTAAATAGAGACAAAGGGAATAACACCATGTAAATAGAGACAAAGGGAATAACACCATGTAAATAGAGACAAAGGGAATAACACCATGTAAATAGAGACAAAGGGAATAACACCATGTAAATAGAGACAAAGGGAATAACACCATGTAAATAGAGACAAAGGGAATAACACCATGTAAATAGAGACAAAGGGAATAACACCATGTAAATAGAGACAAAGGGAATAACACCATGTAAATAGAGACAAAGGGAATAACACCATGTAAATAGAGACAAAGGGAATAACACCATGTAAATAGAGACAAAGGGAATAACACCATGTAAATAGAGACAAAGGGAATAACACCATGTAAATAGAGACAAAGGGAATAACACCATGTAAATAGAGACAAAGGGAATAACACCATGTAAATAGAGACAAAGGGAATAACACCATGTAAATAGAGACAAAGGGAATAACACCATGTAAATAGAGACAAAGGGAATAACACCATGTAAATAGAGACAAAGGGAATAACACCATGTAAATAGAGACAAAGGGAATAACACCATGTAAATAGAGACAAAGGGAATAACACCATGTAAATAGAGACAAAGGGAATAACACCATGTAAATAGAGACAAAGGGAATAACACCATGTAAATAGAGACAAAGGGAATAACACCATGTAAATAGAGACAAAGGGAATAACACCATGTAAATAGAGACAAAGGGAATAACACCATGTAAATAGAGACAAAGGGAATAACACCATGTAAATAGAGACAAAGGGAATAACACCATGTAAATAGAGACAAAGGGAATAACACCATGTAAATAGAGACAAAGGGAATAACACCATGTAAATAGAGACAAAGGGAATAACACCATGTAAATAGAGACAAAGGGAATAACACCATGTAAATAGAGACAAAGGGAATAACACCATGTAAATAGAGACAAAGGGAATAACACCATGTAAATAGAGACAAAGGGAATAACACCATGTAAATAGAGACAAAGGGAATAACACCATGTAAATAGAGACAAAGGGAATAACACCATGTAAATAGAGACAAAGGGAATAACACCATGTAAATAGAGACAAAGGGAATAACACCATGTAAATAGAGACAAAGGGAATAACACCATGTAAATAGAGACAAAGGGAATAACACCATGTAAATAGAGACAAAGGGAATAACACCATGTAAATAGAGACAAAGGGAATAACACCATGTAAATAGAGACAAAGGGAATAACACCATGTAAATAGAGACAAAGGGAATAACACCATGTAAATAGAGACAAAGGGAATAACACCATGTAAATAGAGACAAAGGGAATAACACCATGTAAATAGAGACAAAGGGAATAACACCATGTAAATAGAGACAAAGGGAATAACACCATGTAAATAGAGACAAAGGGAATAACACCATGTAAATAGAGACAAAGGGAATAACACCATGTAAATAGAGACAAAGGGAATAACACCATGTAAATAGAGACAAAGGGAATAACACCATGTAAATAGAGACAAAGGGAATAACACCATGTAAATAGAGACAAAGGGAATAACACCATGTAAATAGAGACAAAGGGAATAACACCATGTAAATAGAGACAAAGGGAATAACACCATGTAAATAGAGACAAAGGGAATAACACCATGTAAATAGAGACAAAGGGAATAACACCATGTAAATAGAGACAAAGGGAATAACACCATGTAAATAGAGACAAAGGGAATAACACCATGTAAATAGAGACAAAGGGAATAACACCATGTAAATAGAGACAAAGGGAATAACACCATGTAAATAGAGACAAAGGGAATAACACCATGTAAATAGAGACAAAGGGAATAACACCATGTAAATAGAGACAAAGGGAATAACACCATGTAAATAGAGACAAAGGGAATAACACCATGTAAATAGAGACAAAGGGAATAACACCATGTAAATAGAGACAAAGGGAATAACACCATGTAAATAGAGACAGAGGGAATAACACCATGTAAATAGAGACAGAGGGAATGACACCATGTAAATAGAGACAAAGGGAATAACACCATGTAAATAGAGACAAAGGGAATAGCACCATGTAAACAGAGACAAAGGGAATAACAACATGTAAATAGAGACAAAGGGAATAACACCATGTAAATAGAGACAAAGGGAATAACACCATAATCACCCTATCAATTAACAAAATACAGCAAACAACAAAACACCACTTTGAAATTTACAGCTGAGGACGATTAATTCATCAGTTCAACAAAATCAAACCTGAAATCCCCTTATTTACGGCTGCTATCTCAGCTTGTAACAAACAGTCATTTCCCTCATAAACTCGTCATATCTCCGCTTGTCACAAACAGTCACTTCCCTCATAGACTCTTCATATCTCAGCTTGTCACAAACAGTCATTTCCCTCATAAACTCTTCATATATCAGCTTGTCACAAACAGTCACTTCCCTCATAAACTCTTCATATCTCAGCTTAACAGTCACTTCCCTCATAGACTCCTCATATATCAGCTTGTCACAAAAGGTCACTTCCCTCATACACTATTCATATATCAGCTTGTCACAAACAGTCATTTCCCTCATAAACACGTCATATATCAGCTTGTCACAAACAGTCACTTCCCTCATACACTCTTCATATCTCAGCTTGTCACAAACAGTCACTTCCCTCATAAACTCTTCATATCTCAGCTTGTCACAAACAGTCACTTCCCTTATAAACTCTTCATATCTCAGCATAGATAGGAATCCGACACCTTTCAGTTCATGAATCTGTACAATGACAACCGAGTGGCCCAAACTAACAATTGAAGGATTTTTTAAACGACAATTTTCACTTCAGAAAACAGATAAATCGTTACCACTGCGTAAACGAAAATACACTCAACAAAACACAATAGACATAGTCAAAACCTCACAACAGATAGAGAGTGATATAAGGTTCACTGACAACCGAATCCAGGCAAACCCAGGCAAACCCAGACCATTTTCAAGCGATGACAATAAACAAACAGACACAACAACAAAATATTATATTTGATAAAGAACAATTCGATCAACGGCGAACCAGAAGAGAGGTCATTAGGCGTCACAATAGAACTCTTACTCGATATGTACGTTGAATATTGCGACAATATGCAAAAAGGCATCCAAGCATTAAAACTACTGAAGCGAGCAGGCAGACACATGTAAAGACAAGGATACCTGATGATATTTCATTCTATCATTCTTTCGAACTTCCATTTCTAAATAAACTAGGACACTTAAACTATCTTCTTCCAAACTTCAATTTCTGTTCTTTTACTTAAAACATTATGGAAAAATAACATTAACAGGCGATCCTAAAGAGATCTTGGAGCCCACCATAAAACAATCTTCGTTGGATTTTCTTCGAGTACTCCTGTTTTCCTCCTCCACCACCAAAACCTGGCTCGTCCTTAAATGACCAAAGATGTCAAAAAAAACGTACAGCACAAATTTATTCTACGGACGATTTGATATCTTTTCTCTTCTTAACTTTTATCACTTGGATTGAGTCATGTAAACAGTAAATGCACCCTGTGGTAACTTTTAATCAAAGCTTCATACTACTGTGTATGACATTGCCAAAGCGAGATTATCATTTTGCCTACTTATTAGCATAGTACTTCATGTGTAACAAGTGAAACTTTTATTTGAGAAAGATTTTGCACTGTGCATCTCGAGAAATAGTGACTACAATATTGAACTGTTAAAATCCAAGTTGGCTGTTTGGTGTTTGGTATCCGTTTTCATTAGGACGGACTTCGTGGAACCTACGTATGAAATTTGAAAAATTCCTTCCACTTTCTGAGAAATAGCGTTAACCAACTTAACTCTAATGTTTTGAAATTCGGATGGACTAAAATTGGGGGAATAGAGGGATGATCTAAGATTCAAATATGACGACAAAAATACATATGGAGATTTACTATCTCGTTCAAAATGATCATCTCTCAAAATTAGACGCGAGGAAAGTTTGCTACTTAAGTATACAAAAGCACACACAAACATCCGTTGAACTACAAAAACTACAGCAAAGTAGTGGTATCTCAATACTGCGGACATGCCACAAGGTGAAGCAAACTTTCCTATTGATCACGATACACCAGCAACATTTGAAATATCGATAATTTGCTGGTATGGATACAGAACAGATGTACATGATGCAAATAACAAGTATCGGCCTAAAACGAAATCGCGATGTAAGACAGAACCTTTATCCATTGTCTTTGAAAGTTTTATGTTTATCCCCTTTCCCTACATCTTCACATAACATAACTTTAAAGAATACTGGCATCGGCCAAGGGGAGACAACCCCCTATTTATATATCAATCTTTGTACACTGCAATCTACCTTACCTAACCCTTTCCTTTTTTCTGTGCGTCATGAAAAATATGCATAAGAATATGTCTTTTTTTTAATCCATTATTGTTTGAAAATAAGTAGGGTATACTGTTAATGTGTGGTTCTCTTCGTGCGCTGATATTAAAGCATTATCTCATTTTAACTTGAAAATGTGTCTCCAGACAAGATCTCCTTGTATCTGTGTACCTGGCCACACCGCAATGGTCGGGCCCCCTACAGAAGTCTAAACTAATACTCTGCACTATTAATGATATTACCGTCATTGATGATAGAGTCATGTCGTGTAGTATTCCAAGATTAAGGTTTATACTATGAATATTTATTTTTAAATGAATGACTTTGAACCACATTCAGTGTTACTTGAATAAAATGTGTTGAAAACTTCAAACGACTTCGTCTTTGACGAAGATTTAGTCAACACCATTACAGTCAGGTAAGTGATATTATAACGTATATTTAGTCAACACCATCACATTCAGGTAAGTGATATTATAACGTATATTTAGTCAACACCATTTCAGTCAGGTAAGTGATATTATTCCTTTGTGCCTCTTGTTATGAATGACAAGAAAAGCATGACAATTAATACTTACAAATACCGAAATATCATAACAGAGACATGTTTTCCATCGAAGCTTCTGTAAATTGCCAATGACATCTGTCCTTCCTCAGTATCTATAGAAACGCTATATTCTTTTCTGTACGTCGTGTTAAGTGTTTCCTGTTTCCAGTACGTCGTGTTAAGTGTTTTCTGTTTCCAGTACGTCGTGTTAAGTGTTTCCTGTTTCCAGTACGTCGTGTTAAGTGTTTCCTGTTTCCAGTACGTCGTGTTAAGTGTTTCCTGTTTCCATTTCAGACGGTGCCCTTCCTGACTGGAAAGGAAAAGGTCAACAAAGTTTCAATCGCATTCGTTTATATTTTGTTTTGTGGTTCTGGACTCATGTGGCCGGTCATGGCAGCGCGGGATCAGAGCATCAGGATCGGTGCTGCCATATCGGATGACAGCTAAGGTAGGGTTAGACAATGTCAGTTACAGCCTTGTGTTAAATGATCGGCCCATAGACGTAGGACTAGGTGCTCTCTTGGATGATTTGGAATAGGCAATGATTTAATATTGCTTGTAAAAAGCATTTACATTGGCTTAAAAAATTATTTTATCAGCCCATTACGTAAAATAAATAACGTCGCCGTTTGTAGTCGCCGTTTGTAACGTCGCTTTTGATTGGCTGATACAGCGGCGTAATAATTTCTAAGAAAAAAGAGTCCATCAATAAAAGTGGATTTCCATAGGGACTGTGTATAGCAGATAAAATTATAAGGATTATAAACATGTGCTATATCTATATAGTGAGATTAAGTTAAGGGCGGTCATGCCACTTACTACTAGTATTGTCATTAAGGCAGTACTTCAACAAATACTGCAACAGTGTCTAACGATATCTTCAGAATAAGGATGAATAATGACATGCTCGTTTTAATTTTGAAATTTAGATGATTGTTTGAATGTTCAATTATGAAGAAGCTGAGAATGCAAAAACAAAACAAACATACTAGTCATCGACCAATTAGGCAGAAGGCATAAACAAATAAAGATATTCATGAGTATAATGAATAATCAATGTTTCCAATTTAATATTGATATATTGAATTGGCAACAACGAAGTATAGCAGTATATCGATCTCTTTATACTTGTAACAGCTTTGAAATAATAAATTTGTATATATATTTTTTTAATGGACTGAATCTTGCTTTGGTCGATTTCATGGGGTGATGTATTGAGTTGGTCTTGAAACAAATTTAATGAACTGCTAAAATAGTTATATCCCTTCGCAAAATCTAAAAATATCTTTTCATGTTAATTAATCTGGTCAATTTTATCTGTAAATGAAACAGGTAACGATTGGTAGTCGCATTGAGTCAAACTTGAGAAGAAATTGAAATATTACTAAGCTGAACACACATGTAGCTGTATATATAATACGTATTATGTTGTAGACCGCCTGGAGCAGATCCGACTAGTGGCCTTAACTGACAGGCAGCCAGAAAGACCGGATATTTTATAACCGATGGGACTCTTCTTCATTGTTTTATTGTGAACTATTTGAGTGGTAAATAAATGATTTGAAACGTTTTCATGCTTGCTTTAGTCCATATGAGAAAATTAATGTACTATCTTACTTGATAAAGTCAGTATAATGACAGTGCATGTGACTAGGAGTATCAAACATTCCGTCACACACATTTCTTTATTTAGTTATGTAACGACCTGTTCTGTCAGAATAACACAAGCCAGGTTTTGATATATTGGTTGACATCGATTCTTTACTCTCTTTGTACAATTCCATATATACCTTGATATATAGGGATTACACATGGATTCTTCTTTACAGATAAATTCTACGAGGGTCATTTTTCGTCATACTTTGTTGCAATTCACCTTCAGTTTGTCCAATGGCAATTCGGCACTAACAGCACAAATCATTGCATAACTAATACTCGCGATCATACACTTTATCTTAGCTTCCAGTTTAAAATTTAGTCCCGTTCTGAATGGAAATTCTTCTCCTAACACGATAATACTGCCCCCCCCCCCCCAGTTTATGGTTATCACATTTTCACACACATGCACTTTTGTTTGCAACCAATTGCTTTAAAAGTGCAAAATAAAAAGAAGATTTTTTTTACATATCTTGGGTTGTCTTTTACATTCGATCAACATAACTTTTTGTTTGTTTACGTACTGATGGAAGTTGTTTTTTTAAACATTATTTTTTTCCCAAATAGAATGCCCAGTTTTTGTGGATATGTTTTATCTGAATTGAAGGTTGAACTTTATTTCTGTTATCGGCATCTCTCTGTTAACCTTTCCACCCCTAGGTAACTTAAGTAGACTCTACCCGAGAGTTCTCCTTCTATGACTGACC